CAGAAGGGAAGCTTGTGGTTAGTTCTTGGTTGTACACCTTGGTTAAACCTTAGCCGTCCTGGGGTCGGCGGTGGAAATTACCACAAGAGATATGTTTGAGAAGAGCTGCCGTGTTTGGCAGCCAGTGCTGCCTTGAACAACTTTAGTAACAGACCCCAGATAACAACAAGCAGCAAAAGGATGTGCAGTTCTCTGATTACACTCTGTATATGGGACGCTGGACCCGTTTTCCAGCAGGTGATGCTCCCCACCAATAGATGGAGCCTCTCCCCGGGTGGTAGTGGTGTCTTCTCTTACCAACACCACTATCACTGGAGGGTTTTTTTTCACAAAAAAAAAAAAAAAAAAAAAAAAAAAAAAAAAAAAAAAAAAAGTAACAGACTGTTAGCTGTTAGTCTGTTGGACCTAAGCAAGATCAGAGCTCAGAGGGTGCTAAGTGCTTTAGACCGGAGCTGTATTTTTCTGCACTTCAAGGTTTTTGGAAGATGAGTGTAGGCTAGTGTAACTGTGTAAGGACTCGGAGGGGATGCTGGACCCCATCTCCAGCGTCAGCCTCCTTTAGGGCTTGGTGTTCACCTTCCGGGTTGTTTGCGAGGGATTCCCGGCCTCCTTTCATTCGCAATAAAAGTTATGATTCTTAAAATAAATAAATAAATAAATAAATTTAAAAAAAAAAAAAAAAAACCCTCTCAAAACCATGCCCTAATCTGCTTCCAGTCGTGATTAGTTACTGTTGATTTACTGCAAATAGAAGAGACTGGGCAAAAACAAAAACAAAAAAAAAAGCAAAAAAAGGAGGAGAAAAAGACCAGGAAGTTCAATGGATCCAAAAGCATGTGCTTCACTATACAGCTCCTGCTCTTGATTTAATTTTAATTTACTGATTCAGCAAGACCTGCACTTTGTTGAGGGGGAGGGGGGGGAGAAGAACAAAATATATAAGAAATAACTACACCAAGGTAGGGTGTGGAGTTTTGAATTCGCAGGAATAACAGTACACTGCAAGTTCGGGCCGAGAGCGGTTCGAAACTGCAAAAAAAACAGTTACCTTTGCAGTTCTACCCAGTTGGAATTTCGTAACTGGCAAAATCAGGCGGCCACTCGTTATTGCTTTTTTTTGTTTGTTTGTTCTTTTTCTTTTTCCCGCGCCCGCAGACTGAGCATGCAGACTGGGCATGAAGACCCAGTAGGATTGGTACAGAAATTTTGGTACAATGTATCTAGCATGCAGACTGGGCATGAAGGGCTAAAAAATTTTGGATGAAAAAAAAATAAAAAATTTTGAAGAGCGACTAAGTACATTGCATTAACAGGCAGATCGGGTATGACGACTCCAGCGATCCGACGGAGGAGACTGACTGGTGATCTGGGAAGAAGGATGAACGGCGGGAGGAATGGAGTGTACCTGGAACTTCGAATACGGGAGGCAGCCTACTGGAGAACACTATTTATTCAGTAGAACTGTGAGTTTTCATCGCCTGAGTGGACGAGGCAGAAGGGCGATGCTGGCTTGCGATTCGCAAGGCAGCTATTTCATGTTTAGCACATTATGTCCTCTGCGAGAGTAAAGCCTCACATTTTGTGCTACATTGAGTATGAACGACTTTTGTTTTGTTTTGTTTTTCGACTCCAGCAACTGGGCCATGGCCACGATGTCTAGGCCACACCCATGGCTGGGCTACGGCCGAGATGTCTAGGCCACGCCCACTGGAAAACGAACGGTACCAGTACCAGTACCGGTACCTCCCATTTTTGCGAATTGTCAAACTGGAAGGCTGTCAAAGGCATCATTTACTGTTTTTTTGTTTTTTTGCAGTTTCAAACTGCTCTCGGCCCGAACTTGCACTGTAGGGTGTCGCTCTCCACCACAGTGACTCCGGAAATGCACAAAAGACAAAAATCATGGCGATGTATCTTTCCTTGTTCTAGTGGAAGATTCACTCTCGTTTTGCACATTTCGAGAGTGGCGGAGCGAGGCCCATAATACTGTTATTTCTGTGAATTCGGAACTCTCTGCACCGGTCACAGGCGCAGTTGTTTCAATATAGGGCATAGCTACACCACAGTGACTCTCGAAATGTGCAAAATGAGAACGAACTTCCTGCTATGACATGGCCAGATGCACCCGCCTCAATTTTGTCCTTTTCACATTTCGAGAGTGGTGTGGCGAGGCCCATAATACAAACATTTGACAACTTGAAAAAAAAAAAAAAAAAAAAAAAAAAAAAAAACATTTGACAACAATACACACTGGGACTCATAATTGAGAACCAAGCAGTCCTTGGACGCCGTGCCCATTTACGGGCGTAATAAAGATAGCTGCTTTTTCCAAAAGAAAAAGAAAAAGAAAAAAAGATTCACAAGTACGAGAGACTCGGAGGGCCTAGTTGCACTACTTGCCATCGGTCACATTTCGTGGTGGATGCGTGGAGAGTGAAAAAACTGAGAATCGCGTCTAACTCGAGTCCTGGTTGCACTTACTCGCCATTATATTTCTTCTACAGAGAAGTTATTTTTTTTGTCTACCTGATGTCGACTCGTGAAGCCCTGCACTCTCCAGAAAACTGTTTTGTGGAGAGGTCCGACGACCATTCTCCACAAACCGCAGTGCACAGGCGGGGAAACCGAATTCACTCTCCACAACTTGTGTCTACGGTGTGGCGAGCCATCTGACACATTTTGCATTCGTCAAGTTTGGCGAGTAAGTGCAACCAGGCACCTACTCGCCAAACTTGGCCTATGAAGAGTAGTGCAACTAGGCCCGGAGAGAGGAGGAAATGTACGAAGTCCATCACGAGAGTTTGTCCCGTATACAAAGTTAAAAAAAAAAAAAAAAAAAAAAAAAAAGAGTTTGTTCCTACCAAATTGAATTATCCAAAGCAGGCCAATATCATTGTCACATAGCACCCAACATCATTGTCACATAGCACCCAACAATATTGGCCAAGGCCCTGCCAATGCTGGCCTGGGGGGCCAACGAGCTATCTCTGGATCGTAGGACACCAAGCATGCCCTTGCACATACCTGGGGCGAATGGGGATTGAGCCCACGACTTTTTTTTTTTTTTTTTTTTTTCTGAATCACCTCCTGAATGCAACTCGTGTGCCTTCCCAACTGAGCTAGGCCCCCAGGCCAGGTCTTGTTCGTTTGTTTGTTTGTTTGTTTGTTTGTTTGTTTGTTTGTTTGTTTTCAGGTCCTGTGTTTTAAAACCACCAGTCAAGTCACATAAACAAGCCCCGGCTTCAGGAAACGCATTGGCCACTACAGAGGTGCCCAAATTCATCCGACTTGAACCGTTTTAATTCTTCTGTCAATCTCTGTCTACATGGTTGGTGTTCCCCCGTACTAGTATACATATGGTAGCGAGAGGATGAGATAGATGAGGAAAATATGTAGACAGAGATTGACAGAAGAATTATTAAAAAAAAAAAAAAAAAAAAAAAAAAAAAAAAAGTTACGGATCCCCCGGAGCCTCAAGCCTTTCTGGGCCTCCTCCCATACTTGGGGGGGCAAAAATAAAAATGAGTAGAAACGTTTTGTCTCGGGGGGGATCTATGACTTCC